GGTGAGTCCACCACAAAGCTTTTCACTTTATTATGCAATTAGTTTTCGCAATAATTTCCATCCTACGGAAATTGTTAAGCGATGCTTTTTTACCCGTAGTAAACCGTTGTCCATTATCCATTGTTTGCGCCTCCTCCGACCCTAGCTGGAGCGAAAACGTTTCGCTCGTCCTCTTAGGCATTCGAAGCAGCATCAAAGCTGACTTGCAATGTGCACCAGCAGAGCCGGTTTGTTGGAAAACGCTCAAGTTACCACGAGACTTCGTTTCACCTCCCGCATCGTCGGTTATGCCTCAGCTTAACTTCGCGTCCTCCCTAGCTCAACGCATGTGTTCACTACGCCCGACCCCGTCCCGTGAACAGACTAGAGCTATGCAAGTGCAAAGCTGACTCTCTACCTGCAATCACGTAGTCCTCCGCACGGACGCAATGCGGCGCCCTCTCCAGCCTCCCTACACTGGCCCTTTCAGAGTTCTGCAACGGACTCCGAAACGTTTTACTATAGACCAGAATAGTCACCGAACAACGGTTTCCATCGACCGCCTCAAAGTGGCTTTATTTGACGATCCACTTGCAACACATCCTGATGCTGTTGCACAAGCACCCGTATCTGCGGTGACTTCCCAAACATTGGATACGCCGAAACCCTCCGTTCACCTTGACCCGAAACCTACCTCGCCTCAACTCCGACCGGCCGACCGAGGCGGTAGACGAGTCAAACGTCCGGTCCGTATTCCAGTTTTCGTAAACGTTTGCTATTTCCGTCAACACGCCTTTTTGGCTTTAGTGGTTATCCTGCGTCTCCTCCACAAACGTTTAGCCAAATCAACAAAGAACCCAAAACCTTTCGCAATGCTAAAAAGCGTATGTGCTTATATCATGCATGCCAAGTTCCCTCTCCGGCGTCAAGTCCCTTCCCCACCCTTGCCCACCCCCTCTGAATTCTACCTTCCAGAAACTCAAACGCCAAAACTGCCCAGGGAACCTTTGAGTGATTTGCCAACCGACTCAACGCAACCCCCGAGTGCCTCGCCAGCCGTCTTAAAGCCCCTTCCTCAAACAAGGAACAGACAGTCGCCCTCGACCGCAGACACCCACGAACGGATTGGTCCCCAAACGCCGCCTTGGCATTGCCGACGAGGACGCCCGGATTTCTCCGTGGGACGAGGACCATGGACTAAAGTGCGGTGGGGGAGTAACACCTCCCAAGCGCACAGTCGGGTCTGCGGCAAAGGGAGGGTCCTATCGACCTTTTTCTGGACTAGCCAGTTATTTTTGCAGTCCGACCTGCCCGTCCCGACGGCCCACATATGATACACTCTGGTCCACACGACCAGCATGAATAATAACTAATCTATGCCTGGACAAATCAACACTGCTAGGCCCCCACATCGGAAGCCCTTACTCAGGACCTGCGAATATTCGCATCCACCCTCACCTTCCGTTCCCCCACTAACAGCTCCATCGAAGGCTTCCATCTTTCAGCCTTCTATGGGGCGGCCCTTGTAGCGTACCGGAAAACAAGCTCTTTCAGTATTTTGCAACATTGGATTTTACGGTTGTTTTAACCTTCGAAACGTCCACTTGTTTTACCGTTGACACAAACCGTATCGGTGAGCACCACGCTGCACGTTTCTCGTTCCGTCTGATTGGTTCCCTATTCTTGTAGCCTGCACAGTATACGTTGGGTTCAGACGTCTCCGATTTCTATACTGTCGTATTTGACACGTCTTACGTGTTATTACCTAGTAGTAGTATCCCAGGCTAGTATCCCAGACTTTGCTCAAAACCCTCAAAATGGTTGTGGATGCCAGTCCCCATTCAACAGAACTTACCCTGGGAGGATTTAAGGCACATTATTCAGGGCAACTAGCAAATTTTTCTGGCCTGAACGATTGCGTTTTGCCATTCCTCTTCCTCTAATAATTGGTTCAACAACGCATTACTGGATACCCACCGCAGACATTACGCGGTTCTACCGACGACAAATACAAAACACGCCAGCATGTTCGATTTGTGGTTTACCCACCACACGGGCCGTGCCCTTCCGGCTGGACGTGACCGGTCCAATGGATGATACACTCACGCCCCAGCCTGCATCATTCAGCGAAAATTATGGGTGTATCCTGAGTATGACTAACGAACCCCATGGTCGGTTGATAAGAAGCATTGCCAACCTCAGTTTGTCGATCGAGTGCGTCAGTGGCAGTGTTCCAGGACGTGGTGGGTTGAGGCTTGGCAAGACTTCTCCCTATGACAAGCCACAAATGTCTGTTTAACAACACTGCGACTTGGCGGAGGTGACACGCCACTGAATAAGGTCACAGCCAATAAGCTCACACCGACAAGCGGACCAGGACTATATAGTACCATGATGGATACGTCCGACACATTCTTATCTGTGTATTTCTTCGTCACTTCTTTTTCTGCGCATTCACCTTTGTTTTTTACGCTACACTCATATGAACACAGCGTATCGTGTAGTCGCGACTGAGCGTGTTTGCCACTAACCCTGTTCTAATTAAGCAGTTATAGTTCTTGGTATTTTACTGCCTGAATCGTTACTGCACTTTATGTCAGACCGACTGTGACTATGCGAACGTGCCGGAACTTAAGACAACGGGCTTTCTTCATTTTTATTTCTGTCCTATTTGTACAGTTTCAACTAGGAACGTGTGAACAAGCTCCGATTATCAATGTTACAATTGCCATGACATGTCTGTATAGTTGCACTTATTTGATAGTGCCCTCGCGGGCATGCCACGCATAGCCGAGAATAAATGTTTAGTTATTTATTTATCTCGATACTTCTAGCCTCACACTGGTCTGAAAGCACGAACAATCCACGCTACCATGCGCACTGCCCTCGGCAGCTAGCTACGAGCGCGCGCCGCAATAAATTGACGGCCGCACTGGAATAGCTTCGAAAGCCACCTGCCCAAATGTCTTCACCACTGCCCGTTTGTCTTCAATCGCAGGCATGTTCTATGCGGACCAATCAAAAGACCTAACGAATATCCATTCCAATTCTTCTTTGTCATCGAACGCAACGGCAAGCGTAAACCTGTCTCGATTGACCACCTTAACGTTGTTTATCTTGACCAGTGTCGGACGCTGACACCAGTCCTTCGTCCCCGATGAATCGCCCTAACCATTGTTGGAGTAAACGCCTGCTGACAGCGACGCCACAAGCAGAAAACCGTCTCGTGATCCCTCCGACTCCGCCAAGCCTAAAAAGTTTAGTAGATTTTGTAGATTTTGGGTTTACAGGCCTACAGGGTGCTTAGAACCTTAGATTAGAGTTTTTGCTTTTAACTGCTTTTCAGGTTTTCATCACCTCCGTACCCCCGAAAGCCGCAAAAAAGCAAAATGTTTTGAAAAACCAACGACGGGGCAGAAGGTTTAAAAACCAGAAGAAGGACTGAAAGTACGGTTTGAAAACCGCTAAACACAGTTATTTCATTACTTTTCGGTGCCTATATGCTAAATGTTTTTCCCGTCCATCGCTTTCGCCTCTTCTGCATGCCCGATCTTCACCATTTCCTTTTTTCTTTTCATGTTGCGAACCGGAAAACACGCACTCATGGTCAAACACAACTGCTTGGTTGCTGCGGACGTTCAACTCCATTCCTTTTATCAGCGCCTTAAGGAATGACCCGGGCGCGATCCGGCTATTGTCCGATCGAATGGTTCCCCCCAACCGGGGCATCAGGTTTCACCGCCTGGTCTCGCAGAAGGCTGGCATGCGACGGACAGTCCTCACGTAGTTTGCATGGACACCCAGCATTCACTTCTACGAAGGGGCTGTGTAGTGGCCTAGAGACGGCCCTATCTGTCTGTGAAAAATATTGGTAAAATATACTAAACTTATTTACTTAAACCACTTAGGAAGCTTGCGTGTTCGCATGATGACTACGTGTGTTTGAGTCACACAGCTGAATTGCATGCGTGCTTCTGCTTTTTCCGCCACGAAACTCGTTGCTGCATATCAGCCAGTGACTAGCACATTGCCCTAGCTAGAACCACTTTTACAATGCCTTCAGTTAGCTGGCTTTTACTTTTTGACAATAAACGTATATCTCGCCCTTATATTCATCTTCGCACGACACATCCTTAGAGTTGGACGAACCTGAAAAATAGCGACGGTACGCTTCCGCTATAAGTGCTGCGGGAAGTTAGCAGCGGCTCTGTGTGAAATGGTTTCCTGAGACGCAACAACCTAGCAGAGAATCTGAAAGGGACTATAGGTCCGTAAGTTCGAGATTCCAGGGTATCAAGAATTTGCGAACTATTTCAGATCAATTAAGCACAAACCAATGGCCGAAAACCCTGGATCGAAATAGCAGGCGAGTTCTGAATTGCGTAATGCATATAGTACTGATTCCGGAAGGATACGGTACTGAAAAACCGCTTTCGGGATAAGTAGCTGCACGCTATGAAACGACAAGCAAAGAGAAACAGGATGATGGTGGGTCCCAAGATTGTTGGAACATGGGAGCATCGCTTGATCACCGGAAAGCTTGACAGTGTTTTTGGTTCACTGCTATTTAAACACTGCTATCGCACTGCTTTCACTAAGACAATGTAACAGATTACAAGTCCTATGAAGGGAAAATTCACAGGAAGGATTCCGTGCTTGTTGGGATCATCGAGGCCCTTTCAATCGCAACAGATAATGAAAAATTTTCAATTGCTTATTGGCCAGCCATAGTAGCCTCAAAAACCTTTTATGATAGGAGCTTGGATGGTGAATTTAGACAAGCAGTCAGTGACCTTGAAGCAAAAGAAAACACTGCACTATTATGACGCGTTTCAAAGCTATTACATCTCAGCTGGTAGTTAGTAGCTATCGTACCCTGCACTATTGGGAAGCTAGTTTTGACCACTGCCTCAAAGCCACCGGGTCACTGCAGTATTGTAAGTACCGCTTTAAATTTACCGAAACTTGTGTCCCTGGCCTTCTGTCTCTAGTTCAAGGTTGTTCTTCGGTACATCCAGTTTGAGTGAGCAGCTGACTGCGTGCTCCCGTTGCAGACGTGTTATAGCCCATATGTCGGGAGTGGCTGCTGGTGCAGGGGTCACTAAGGATGGACCCACTTTTCCCGCTCTTTTGAAACCATTCTTGCCGTCACATTTCAGTTCAGTTACCGAAAACCAGGCTATTGCAAAACCCGCCGAAGTTTGATAATTTGCACATTTAACGCTTTCTTAGTATATTGGATCATTCATGGTCGCAGGTAAAGGGCACCACGACCGCGCTGAAATCGTGAGACAAAAGTTAGAGTCCGCGAGAGTAAGATTATGGTTTTAGTTTTTGTGCTTAGAACTTATCTTCGAATTTCCACTTGAATTTGTTAACAGATGTTTTTTATTTTATGCGTTTTGTGATGCAAGCATTCATCTTAACCCTAGACTATTGAGCCCTTTATTTAACAGTTGCTATACGAACCTTGATCCACTAGTGATAACGGCTAAGGATAGCGATTATTAGTATTGATTGCGAACTGATTTCGATCGGATACTGTTTTCGACTTCACGTGACTGCCACAGCAGGGACTGCTGGGGTAGGAAACGTGGGCATTAACTGGTTGGCCAGGGTGCGATACGGTAGTTCCGTTTTAGACCCATCAATAACTGAGCACCGTCTTTACCTGGCTCAGCGATTCACTCAAGGTGAAACACTCACGGGATTCTCCTATCGTTCCAGTCCCACCCGAAATTGACTTTCATTCCGCGTCCTTGCTCAGACACAAGTTCAGGTTCACGTGGGAATGGAACAACAGGAAGATCCCGTGAATGTTACACCTTCGGAAGCCTCGTTTAGCCAACAGGGAAAACGGTAGATTGTTCTGCCGAAGGAGAGCAGAAGTGCCGAGGGTCTTGGTTTACTTATCGGTACAGGAAATGGGACGCTCGTTTTGCGAAGGCCTAAACTGACCTGACCTGAACACATGATTCACCTGGTCAACCAAACAATGCCCACGTCCCCTGCATTAGCAATCCACTGTGCCGCTCAGCTGAATAAAAGAAAACGAAAGAAAATAAAGAAAATGACGGGCTTATCAAGTAAAATAAGTATTATTGAGGTGCTTTTGAAAAGGAATCAAGAAGCAGACCGTAGTAGACGAGCAAAAGCTCAAGGCTTGGAGATGGTTATAAATTACGGACCTAGGGCACCAAGTTGATGTTCAAACACTTTCACTGTCGGTGTCATCACTAGGTCCGCAGGCACAGCGTTCCAATAACCTATGATTCTACGCGATAAACGGAAAGCTGCCCCAACCAGGTCAGATCGGAGTTTGTGCAACCTCTATGAGCGATCACGAAGGGCTGAAACAGGAGTTGGGTGGAAGTCCAGTTAAATCAGGACCAATCTGATCCATTAGTATGCAATGAGTGAGGACCAAGTTGTCCCGAAGTCGCGTATAGTACATGGAAAACATGCAACTTACGTATCCTCTTGGTACGTCAGCTTCTTTAACCCATACAGCAATTTTGTCCCACACCGCAGGACCCATTTCAACTGTCATGCCGTCATGAACCAGATGTGGAGGAGAAGCATGTGCACAGTATTCCAGGTGCGGCCTTACAAGGTCCGGCAACAGTCTAACCGACGTTTCAGTCGTCATTATACCGAATGACCTGCGGATCAACCACGATATGCCGAATTCTTTACGGGCAGCTTCCATCCAACGTCCACTGGCATCATGATCATCAGTACACGTTAGCTAGTGGTGAGGAACATATCTCAGCTAGTGTGCCGCAATACAAAAAGATACTAAAAAATTACAGCGCAATAAATCGCAAGTAAGCAAAATAATATTATCTATATTATGCATAGCGACCTCCGGCGCTTTTCGTCGGCCTCTGAGTTTTGTACCATTGTCTCTGAAAATCTGGGATTTGTTGAGCCCCTACGAAACAATGGCCTGGGCTGCGGCAAAACTGTCACCTCCCGAGCTAAGGGCATACAATGTGGTCTGTTGCAATATCGAACCCGACCTGTATGAATGCTTCAACGAACGGCTTCCCTCGGCATTACGTTTCACTGTGATCAGTGCCGCACTGTTGTAAGTGACAGATCCCTTCTGGCCTGTCTGACCTCAACGCAATACTGCGGAACAATAGCGGAGGTGTTTTCCCACCTCTAGCTAACGTGTATAATGATGATGATGATGACCTCAACGCAAAGGACCGAGACGAACACTGCACCGCTAACTGCCTCGTCCTTTATGTCTCCTTCCGCCATCCTCGTGCACAATCGCAGTCGATCCTCCGCTCCATCAGCGGGAGCGCTTTTTATGGTGCAGAGCACAATGCCCAGTAAGCTGCAGCTGGAGATGTGACCAAGACGAAAACCTGCGCGACGGCGGCGCGCACTGAATCTGAAAATGCAGCTAGCAGGAACCATGCCCCGAACCGAAAAACTAAGAAGGCAGCCACCTGAGGCAAAGCAAAATCCAACTCAACGTCAACGTAACTGGAGCGTATTTTAGTTAAAGGCACACAACTTAAAAAATTAATAACCGAAAAACCGGTCACATCTAAACAAGAGAAGCTGAGAGAAAACAGGCCTCCCAGGGCACGATGTTTGATTATTACAAATGTTCCGGAATCTGACAAAGTGACCCCAGCTGGTAGGATCCTTGACCACCAGGTATTCCTCAAACGAATGGTATCCATTCTATTCGACGAAGGTGAGCAGTGCATCAACATAGTCTCAGCCTTCCACATGGGTAGAAAGCAGGAACATCCTACAAAGTTCTGCCCCCTTAAAGTCGTTTGTCAAGACGAAGAAGAATTCCGCCGCATCCTCATGCGCACTTCGCGCCTTAAGGGTTAAACATTCGCCGTCCTAAGAGACCTCTTTCCGGAAGATCGAGTTAAAATGAAACAAGCTGTACATATACTACGCACGCGTAGAGCCAGTGGTGAAAGTGATCTTCATATTGTGGATTTTCGCGTATTGCAGAGAATGCCGAGAGCGCGCTGGCGGCTGATTTTTCTGCTACCCAGCCTGATGGCGCAAACGGAAGTCTGCGATTAATACTTGCCAGTGTACCAAACCTTAGGAACAAACTTGACGAGATTGCACTTCTCATCTCTGAACACCATCCAGATCTATTGGCGTTTACAGAGACTTGGCTGTTCTCTGAGGTCTTGGACACAGAAATCAGCATACCGGGATATCAACTCTCACGAGCCGATCGTGCTGATGAGAGGACCGGAGGCGAAGTGATTCTCTACTAGAAAGACTGCCTTTAAGTTCACATTTTTGAAGCGTTCACCGACGATAACGCTGTCTCAGAACTGCTTTGGTGCCGGATCCATGATGGCCACCAAACACTCACCATTGGAGTTGCCTACGGTGCTCTCTCGAGCTCCGTCTTTCGTCTTCTGAACTCGATCAAAACACAACGGCAGAGGCAGAAACTGTTAGTGAGTAAGTTCAGTGCACCCAGTATCAATTGGGACCTTTTTCATTGTGATTTGCAAGATTCCTTCCAAAGGGGGCTTTTCAACGCTGTTCAGGAATGCGATCTGATTCAGCACATCTCTGCTCCAACGTGGATGCTCCCAGTCCAAACATCAAACATCCTTGATCTGGTTTTCACTCCAATGCCCACTGACCTCTGTGATTGGGCGACCCTCCAATCGCGGCCGAAGTGACCATTCAGTAGTCTCCTTGTGGACGCGACCTCTTACCAACACTGACCGCGGCGCACATCGCCGTAAATTTTAGCCTACAGATCCATCCAGATAACATGCTGTGGGGAGCTCGGAAGATTGGAGTATCCCACAGTCCCTGAATTTCGATGAAACAGGAACCTACTTCTCACCAAGATGACGTCCACCATCGAAAATGCCGTACTCATGTACAAAGTCGGACCATTCCACTAGAGTCCCCCTGGATCGACCGAGAACTGAGGTTCTTACTGAACAGACGGCGTAAACTCTGGACCGTATTCAAGAGAACACAACTAGCCTCGGATTACCTAAAGTACAAAGTAGTTCGAAACTTATGCACCCTGAAAAAACGGCAGAAGCGAGCTCAATACGAATACTACTTGCCTGTTCAATCCCGAACGTGCCCCAAGATGCTCTTCTCATACCTAGGGCGAAACACCGAAGCGGCGTTGGTATCCCATCTCTATCTGCCACTGGGGAAAGCACGGCACTACATCACGATGATAAAGCCTATCTACTGGCCTCGCAGTACACAGCTGCCCACGCAGTAGAGCCACAGTTGCCTAAGAACAACGTACCCACGTGCTTTCCAACTGGAGCAAATTGCAATTACCGTCGAGATGGTCATGCGACTAATCCGTGAGTTAAACCCTAACTCCGCACCAGGCCCTGACGGACTACTCCCACTATTCGCAATGAGGCTGGACCTTACCGTGGTGCGATGGTTTGTGTGCCTCAGCGATCCATTGAGCTATGCTGGGTGGTGCTTTTGCACCTTCAGAGTCACTCATACCAGATTGGTCAATGGTTAGAGGTCAGACAAACTCAGCCTCCTGGTCCTCCAGGTTGGGGGTTGGAATGAAGGTGGCACCTTATTCCTTAAAACGGACTCCTTGTAGTCCAACGCCAAACCCGCTGCCTTGCGGTCAGGTTTTTGAACCAAAGGCTTTGGTTGAGAACCCTAATCGTTCTCCTGTCTAGGCCTGGGCAACCTGACAGTATCCTGCCCACGCAATACAATGAATCACACTTCAAACAAACTGCTGATGCTCTGGCCACCGCAGAGGATAATCAACGGTGCCCTATCTGCTGCATCGAGCAGGGTGGATAGGGGTTTTGATGCTACTGCTCAAGCCTTCCCGTCTTCTTATTCCCCATCTTACACTTTTTCACTCTTACCGTCCCCTTCCAACTTCACTTATATCCCCCCAGTTTTCAACCCCCCGATTCTTGGCCCTCCCCCAACATGCTTTGCTAGGCATTTATCTTCTAGTTTCAACTCACATGTGAACGCGAAGCGTCACTCCTCTCCTGTCGACAAGCCCATGTCCAACCAAGCGGTCCATTCCAGTTCATCGGCTTCCATTTGGAGCCCTCGATTTTCCTTCAGATTGGCATGCCTTAATGTACGCACACTACTACAGATCGGTCAACAGGCAGCACTTGCCCGAACATTGGAGACCCTCTCGATCGATATCTGCTGCTTATCAGAGACCCGCCTGCAAGACTCGAGCTCTGTGCTCACTCTGCGATCCCCTTCAGGTGACGCAAACAGTATTTTCTCCTTGCGCCTATCCGGTGACGATGCAGCTTCGAGCACCGGCC